TTTGTTCTCCAGACCCCTTTTTCATATCTTCAATATTTCTTTAAAAAGCGGGACATTCGTAGCGTATTGGAAAACAAGCTTCATTACTCCTATACTGAAATCCGGAGATAACTCACAGGTTGATAACTATCGACCTATTAGTATATTGAGTTGTATTCCTAAAGTATTTGAGAGCCGTGTTTGTGATTATTTATCGGCTGGTTTAGAAAGCTGTTTTATTAATCAACAGCAGAGCTTAAACTTTTTAACATTTGCTGACTATCTCTTGGAATCCCTAGAGGACGGTTATCAAGTACATGCTGCGTATACAGATTTTAAAAAAGCCTTCGATAGGGTTAACCATAAAGTTTTAATTAATAAAATGCAGATTTTGGGAATTCAGGTTGAACTGCTTGAATGGCTATCTTCTTACCTTACTGAAAGGATACAGATAGTGCGTATTCAGGGCTTCCAATTATTAGGAATTAAAGTATCATCAGGTGTACCTCAAGGTTCACACCTCTTCTATTTAATTTATATGTGAATGATACTGCACCCTGTTTTATCTTTGCCCTATTCCTAATGTTTGCAGATGATTTAAAATTATATATGAGAATAAAGAATGAATTTGATTACATAAAACTGCAAGCTGATTTAGATCGTCTCCGCAACTGGAGTGAAATCAATGGAATGGAACTTAATGTTAAAAAGTGCCATCAAATGGTCTTCAGTCGTAACAGAAGTCGCACAGAACAAATAATCTACAACATTAATGGTTGCCCTTTGGAATCGGTATCTCAAGTTAAAGATTTGGGTGTAGTCCTCGATTCCAACTTATCTTACTTACCCCATATATCAATGGCAGTCTCAAAATCACTTCAAATGCTAGGCTTTATTAAACGTTGCGCTAAGGATTTTTTAGAGGTATTGTGACGGCCCACCATCTGGCATCCCCTTTTTTTGTTCATTATTTTTATTTTACTCTCTAATGTTATTTTTTACTTCACAAATTTACTTTATGCTAAATTATGTACTTACTGTATTTGGCCTTTTTCCTCTAGTAGTAAAAGTGATCGTCTAGTTAATTAATTGATAATTTATATACCCACGTTATGATAATATTAATTAAGGTAAACCAGGATTCGATGCAAAGTTTGGTGGAAATTGATAAATAAAACATACAAATTCATATTTAAACTCTTTTATACAAACGCAGACCATATTCATTTGCTATCAACTACTGTGTTTGTTGTTTATATTCTTATTTAAGTTGATGACCAACGAAGTTAACGAACAGCGCCAATTCGCCATTAAACTGGACTAAATATTCAAAAAGGTTATTTATACTCGTTTTATAATTAGCATTAGTGCTTCTTTTTTAATAATCTTTTTCCTAATAAGATATAATTCTGCAGTCAACAAAATGTTGGTTACTGAAGAAATGTGTAAGAGGCCAGTTGTGTTCTTATAATATTTTTTAAGATATTTGATTTTTAAACGTGTTTTTATTCATGTTTTTACTAGTTAATTTTATTTAAAAATATTATTCAAAAATAGATTTTATTAAGGACATTTTAACGGATTTACGTCTCAAATTTGTGACAGATAAAAAGAAACAGAAATTTGAGATAAATCAGACACAAAAGACGCCTTTGCTTCCTCTTGGTGACATGTCATTTGTCAACTTTATACTCGGTAAACATTGCTGATACACAAAAATTGTATACAGCGCGTGATTTGTACCGAAATATGATCGTTTTTCGAGCTTGGAACAAAACTATAAACAACATCTGACAACATAATCATATGTGTATTGTCAATTGTCATTATCCGTTGTCTATTAAAAACAAAGGCCAAATACGTCATTGATTCATAAAACATACAAATTCATATTTAAACTCTTTTATACAAACGCAGACCATATTCATTTGCTATCAACTACTGTGTTTGTTGTTTATATTCTTATTTAAGTTGATGACCAACGAAGTTAACGAACAGCGCCAATTCGCCAGTTGATTACTTTACTATGTTGATTTCACATATACTTTGTTTCAAACCTAGTAGAACCACTTGAGTTAACGAACTTACTATTAAGCAGAGTTCGGAGGATATATATCAAGTGATATATATCATGATATTTATACCTTGATATATATCCGATATATTCGATAATTTTATTTGTTAAATTGAAAATGTTTTCAACCATTTTAAACATTCAAAAATGTCTCAATACGCTCCTATACAAAAGTATTATAACTGTAGCGATTTATTCGGCTGTTGCGCAAGCATCCCCGAGCCGTCTTTGGGATTCCCAGCTTCGCTACGATTTGTTTTGTTGAATGAATGAAAATATAGACAAAAAGAAAACCAACCTTGACTGAGCATGGGAACAAGCTACATCTGAAGTTATTGTCACTAATAGAAGTAACAATATTGATATTAATAATTCATGAGATGCATCAGATGAGGATATACCAATATCAATGTTAAAAAAATAATGTTAAAATCCTTTTATTTTTCATTTTTTTCTTTTTAATTAGAGTTATAAATGTTATAATAAAAGGTTTTGTTGTTTAAAATTTAGAATATAGGTTTTTAATTGTTTGTGTTAAAATATTGATTTTAATAAAATAATGTTAAAATCTGTTTATTTTATTAATAATTTTTACTTTCTGTATACAGATATAAGGAAAGTATAGGAATCATGATTTTTTTCGACCTCGAGTTTTCGACGGATTTTTACGTTTTGAGGTCCCCTGAAACCGTTTTGACTATTTTCGCGATGATGTCTGTGTGTGTGTCTGTGTGTCGCATAACTCATGAACCGATACACAGAAAAACACCAAATTTTAAACTTAAGCTTTGTTCCAGCGTCCAATGTGCTGATTAGATTTTGGGCAGTGTCGGAACATCTGGGGGGGTACTTTATAGGTGGTCATTTTTATATTTTATGGAATATATCTGTTATTTACGTTTGGAGAAAAAAATTCTTCAAATAAAAGTTACTTCTTATATTATTATCTAAAATTTTTGTTCTATACAAAATTTTCCTAAAATGGTCCGTATTCGAGAAATTTGACAAAATGTAAAAAAATATTTTTTTATAAAAATTGTTCAAACAAAAGTTGTTTGCAATATAATTCTCTATAATTTTTACTCTATACATAATTTCTCTAAAATGGACCGTATTCGAGATATTTGAGAAAATGTGTAAATTTCGAAATTTGAAGAAAACTCAAAAACGGATAAAGAAAAAACATTAAATTTTAAACTTAAGTTTTATTTCGGCCTGACGTGAAATGATTAGATTTTGGACAAAGTCAGATATTAGTCTCAATCAGACGTCAAAATTAAATTAAAGTAAAATGTATGTTTCGGTCGCAGAGAAAAAAAAAATATTAACTCGGTAAATAACCGTTTAACCGCAGTATCGGGAATTAAACTAAAATGTAGGTATTTTGCTAGGTGAAGAAAAATTAGCTAAACGGTCGAAGAGAGTGCGAGGAGACAGGGACGCGAAAGAATTACTTATAGTAAATACACAGAAAGAAAATAAAAATAAATTTATACCCGGGGTAGCCTATTATCCCAGAATGAGCTGATCGTCATCATGAGCCCGCTCAGACAGGGTAATGAAGCTATTTTTAAGTTATTTAAATTGTCGGTAAAAGAGAAAAACAAATTATTATCGAAGGGAAGAAAATTACTAACGCGGATAGTACCTACTCCAAGAATTAACTGATCGTCATCACGATTCCGTTCAAACAGGACAGGATATTTAAAATTATTTAAAATTTGCGGTTTACAGATTAATTAAAAAAAAAGTATAACGCGGATAGCACCTACTCCAAGGGTGAACTGATCGTCATCACGAGCCCGTTCAGACAAGGACAGGATGCTATTTAAGATTATTCAAATATACGGTAAAAGAATAAACTATTAAAAGAGGGAAAATGTCTCCTCGAAAACTCCGTTTACAAACATTCCCAACTTAATTACAACGCGGTACTTACTAAACAAAAGCATTTATCAATAAAATCAAATTTAATTCCCGATTTAACCTACCAAAAGAAAAAAAAATAATTTCTTAATACCGACTAACAATCAAAAGTCTAAAATCCCCGGTTTTACAATATTACATAATTTAAACATAAATTAAATGGATTTTCATCAAGTAAAGGCCGAAACAATAAATAATATTACATAATTAAATCCTATCAGTTATTATTTAATTCAAATTCTATCCCTTTTTAAAGAAACGGTATGATATTTGTCAAGAAATAAATTCAAATGTTTATTAATACAATCAAATTAAATCTTTTATCTAAACATTATCTATAAAAAAAAAATAAAGAAACTGTATCATTTCCAAGAAACAAATTCTATTATTTATAAATGAAATCAAATTAAATCTTTTAACTAAACACTATCTGAAAATGTTCCTATTCCTACAAGCTAATTCGGTTTTTAAAATATCAAACGTAAAAAACGGAACAAGGTTTTTTACCTAACGGATTTGTAAATACACGGAAAAAGGAAAAAATATCGACGGTGATTTGATTTCTAATGCGGCTTATTAGACTCAACTGCTGGCAACCAAAAATTATATCGAACTCATTTTAATAGCATCTCAGGTATCGTTCAAACAACTGTCCCTCTCCCAATCGAAATCCCACCTAGGCTCAGACCCACCGCGCAGCGAGATTTCGAGTGGCGTTCGCGTACCTGTAAATTAACCTAGGATCGACAGTTCAATCGCGTTAAAAATTTATTAAAAATGAAAATAAATTGATTGAGGAAAATTGACTTCATTACACAACAATTATTGTCCTTGAATTTTAATAATAGCGAATATACCACTGTTAGGTATGAATCCTGGGGCTTCCGAAAGAATTTCAGACAAGGAATTTTAATATAATTTATGGTTCTTTAAGCTTCAAATATTCATACTAGCATTTTAGTAGAAATTGCCATAATATTTAATTAAAGACTTATTTTAACCATAGCATTTTCTATTTCAGTTGTCAGACATAGTAAATCTTTGGAGTCCAACTGGTGAATTACCTCTTGATCTTGCTCTGAGATCTCACAATGACAGCATAGCTGCGACTCTACTCCAACATAATGCCGACATCAACATCCGAGATACTAATGGAGACACACTTCTACATAGGGCTATTAAAAAAGAAGATTCCTTTTCTGCACTGTTTCTGCTCGAACACAACTGCGATGCTACTCTATCAACAAGGTAAGTTTTTCAAGTTTATAATTATGAGATTGAAGAATATCTAAAAATCCATTCCTATAGTGATCAGCAGATTCTACACACCGGGTTTTACTGAGACCCATGAAATTTATATACTGAGTCTTCAACAATACCGAAAACCCACGTGGCCAAATCGTCATGACAGCGATTGGTGAAAATAAAAGTAAAAATCCCTAGATGTGAGCCAGTGCCGTAGGTATTTTATTACAAAATAGATCTTTTTTATGGTCTGCAACTACGAGAACAAAATTAAGTTTGGTAATTGTTAAAATTACAACACAAAATCATAATATTAATTAGAGGTGTTTTACATTATTGTATAAGCATATAGTACCCATATATCACGGAGTGAATTATGATAATTCACGCTATTGTAATTCTGGCATATTCCGATAGATAACTAAAGATAGGCGATACTTTCTAGATCGAAAATCAAAAAATCAAAAAATCGAAAAATCAAAAATCGAAAAATCAAAAAATCAAAAAATCAAAAAATCAAAAAATCAAAAAATCGAAAATCGAAAATAGAAAATCGAAAATCGAAAAATTGAAATGTGGAATAAACAACAGTTAGTTACCTATGTTTAATAAAAACTTTCCATTCTACACTTAACTTTTATTTAATAAAGAAACCATAATGGTCGTGGACAAAGTATAGTATTAGACTCGCAATTTATGGCCATTATTCACTCGGGTGACTTGCGTGAATAATGGCTACCATAAATTGCTCGTTTAATAATATACTATACATGATGGTGGGTGAGGTTTTCCGGGTTTTCCTCACTTGTAAGTCAAATGGCACCATCAATCATCCTTAAGTCGCCCCGGAGCGCCACGGCAAATAATAATAATAGCCGTCCCTTCCCCTACACAAGTCGTTCAGTCGACTTCAGGGGTTGAAATTCACTCGTAAGGGGGTGAATTAGGGAGAGTATTATTATTATTATTATTATTATAAAATGTAAACAAATATAATATAAATATAGTCAGTCCCCAAATGAACGCCAGTGACATTTCTGACAGTTCAGTTTAGTTACTTTTACGTCAGATCAGGCCCTTTCGATGGGTTTTTGATGGTTATCAGATCACGTGGGTTTCGGGTATTATTGAAGACCTGGTACTTTGTTTTCGGAACTTTTAACCAATTCCATCTATAATAGGAAAGTAATGCGAAAATTGGGATCTTTTTAGAAATGAAAATGATTCTCCACTACATTTAATTGCTGGTGCAAATAACATAGAAAACTATGAGAAAATTGCTGAGAAATTAATCAACAAAAATGTGAATGTCAATGCACAAAACAGACAAGGATTGTAAGTATGAATTTTTATATTGTTTATTCAGTAAAATTCAAATGAATTAGGAAACAGGTTAATGACATATTTTGAAGAAATATTAATGTCGGACTTGTTATATTGTAATATAAAATATTGTCACTGACAATTTAAATTCATGCGAAATAAATTAGAAAGAGATTCCTGGTTAAAAATTATGAGGGGCTACCTATAAAAATAGTTTTTCATCCCAGTCCCTTAAAGAAATCACCCCTGAAAAAATCTAAGTTTTTTGCAAAAAAAAGCAAAAGATAAATCTGAATAATATTTTTAATTTATAAAATTCAACTTTACAAAAAAGTTCCAAAATAAAATAACTTTTGTTAATTTAACCCCCTTTTAACATTATGGATATACTAATTACCTCTTTACCAGTGGAGCCGTTCAAGTAAGCACTATGGGGGGGTCTTTGTTTTGCTTATTTTGGATGACATGGGGGGTAGGGGAGTCTAGATGATGATTACGTCATCGGTAGTTATTTACTTTTTACACGAATGGCAACCCTCACATTGTCTATGCTTTAGACCGAGTAGGGGAATTACCGCGCGCTATTCACTTGTTTAAATTTCCTCTGTCAGTGTATTGTTTCGTTTGGATACTATAGCGAGTAGACGTATTGTAAGCTTAGCAAAGCAAGTTAACATTTGTGTTACCGTTGATTCCATTAGCCAAAGTTTAATGTTTAAATAAGATGTCGTTTCAAATAGACAAATCCAAGTTATACCAAAAATTGTTTGAAAGTTTTAAAAAATCTCATACAAGTACGAAAGTACAAAATGTACAAAAGTTAGTTAACGAAGTGTGGCGAAATTATAAATTACAAGCAAAGTCCGACAAGGAACTAAATATTATTGTATCTAAGAGAATTGAAGAAGAATTGCAAGCGGCGACTAAGAATAAATCCAATCTACTACATTTTTTTCCAAGGTGTGTGACGAAATCATTTTAGGTACCTATGAGTACTAGAAATATTAGAAATCGCCAAAAAGTTTCTCTTTACATTTTGTAACAATAATTTAGACGTTTTATGATTACAAAATATTATGGCCTATCTCAAAGTATAGAGGTAATATTCATTATATAGATTTATTTCTTAAGATTGACTCCATCAATTGGTCACAAAATACAGGGTGTTAGTTTTCTGTATGTGATGGGTTCGATTCCCTGCTTTAAAGATTATTTAAAGCCATAGGGCTTTAAATAATCTTTAAAGGCAGTTTTTTATTGCATACTTTGTATTTATGTAGCTTAATAAGAGAATCTTTAGCAGAACCCATAGAAAGTTTTTATTTTTAGGCAAAGATTACCTGTAAACCTGCAGAAAAAATACAAATTATACAGCCAGCTTCAAATATTAAAAAACAGAAAGAAGATAAAATAAAACCCGGTAATAAATCACAACAGCAATGCGAAAATAAAAATAATGATAATGAAGATAAACAAAGAGCAAAACCTTCTCAGGAAACTATGAAAAATAAGATTGCTCTACTCGAAAAAAATCTGAATGCTTTGTATTCTGCCAGAGATACTATGCCAAGCCGTGCTGAAGTTGATAAACAGATCATTAAGTTGCGCGAGGAAATAACAGCAAAACAGTCTTTAAACAGGAAGATTCAAAACTGCCCAGAAGAAACACAGGGATGGTATGAAAAGAAAGTTAGAAGATAGTTTTCATGAAAATCCAGAAATAATAAAAGACTATCTCTGAGGGATTCAGTGGGACGTCCTAATCTTGAAAGCAATCAACCATCACTATTGAAAACAATTGCGAATATAGCTTTATTTGGGAGTGCAGCAGATGATAGAAGACAAACGGAATCTATTCGCAGCGTAAAAACTCTTGATGAACTCACACAAGAATTACGTAAAATAGGATTTGACATTAGTCACAGTTTGACATATCTTCGTTTGATTCCCAGAAAATCTAATTCTGCAGAGGGACGAAGACATGTATCGACAGTCCCTGTTAAGCTCATTCGGGCTCAAACTGATCACCACAAGAGCCACTTAGATAGCAAGTTCGCTGAAACATCAATCCATTATTTAGAGAACATAGCATCCATACTTGGACCAGATCAAGTATTTTTCATATCTCAAGATGATAAAGCTCGAGTCCCTATTGGCGTAACTGCGGCAAATAAGCAAGCACCTCTTCTAATGCACATGGAATATAGAATCAAATTGCCTGACCACGATTGGATAATCGCTGAGCATCATAAATTAATACCATCTGTTTATGCTGGTATCAAAATCACTTCCAGTATGCTAAGACAACCGCAAGCCGTTGGATATTCAGGGGCCCTATTCTCGAATGTCTATTTCTAAATGTCACACACGACGATGAAATGTCGAATAAGAACGCAAAAACGTATTCTGGAATTGACACTTGTTGTTAGACATAAAATCGAGTGGTATTCAACCAGTCGACATTGTAATGTCGCACGCCTTTTTAAATATAATGTTATGAGTATCGTGACAGTGACAGTTTATATTTATTTCTAAGAAAAATGAATATAGTCCAAGCCGTGGGCAAAAGGTCGGAAAGAAGTAAAATTTGGTGGGATGGTCGACATGGGTTCAACAAAATGAGAATTTCAACGCGGATTAAGACGAACATCGCTATGAAACAATTATGTATTTTTTTTTCTAAAAGAGTAATGATTTCTGAGTCTGCAGATGCCCGATTTGATACATTTGGTCATATATAATAAATGCTATGATGTTTTGAAGTGCGCCCATACATACTCCGATATAAAGATTTTGTAATTATCAGAATCTACAGTAAATATTTCCTTATTATTGTTGACCTTGCATTGACGATGAACTGAAAGAATACCTACAGTACGAACTTGCGCCATTTCCGCTTTCAATGTTTACTGAGGAAGGTATGCGCAAGGTGGCAAAATCTTCACTGTACAAAGCTTATGTGCCTGTTACACCAGTAATAAAAGTTGACACAACTATTATACACGTTATTGACAGTGGCTTTTTGCTCCATCGTGTTGTGTGGGGCCATCACAATTCATTTGCAATGATTTGTGTGAATTACATTAACTATATTGCAAGGCATTAGGCGACGAATACAGTTGTTGCTTTTGATGGATTTACCGAAAGTGGGACAGAAACAAGTACGAAATCTGCTGATAGAAACCGCCGCTTGAAGCAGCATTGCAGCACTGATATACTCTTCGATGAATCCATCATTTCAACTGTATCGGAAGAACAATTTTTCTCGAACAGCTTCAACAAAAGACGCCTCATCGCATTGCTGCAAACAAAGTTGGAAACACCTAATTACAATGTTAAGCAGGCCATCGAAGACGCGAATTCCTTAATTGTGCAGACTACCATCGAACTTGCTCCCTCTTTTTCCTCCGTATTCGTTATTGGTGAAGATGTAGATTTGCTTGTGTTGTTGACTGCTTAAGCTAGAGAGATCCCTAATCTTTATTTGCGCAAGCCGGGCAGAGGGAAAAAGGATGATGTGTTCTATTCGCCTCAGAGTTTACAATATAGCGATGCTGTAGCAAAAAGTATGTTATTTCTGCATGCCTTCAGTGGGTGTGGCACTACATCGGCTTTGTTCAATCAAGGCAAAATTCGATTCCTATGTAATGTTTAGATTATATTATATTAATATATTTCTTCTTCTTACTATTTAATGTCTTACCAAATTGTACTTCCAATTTTCTATTTAATCCCTTATAAAATTTTAGTTAAAAAGATTATATTATATCTTCTCTACTTTCTAATTAGTATTTATCAAAAAAACATATATTCGGGATATATTTTCAGTATTACTTTGTATTACTAAGAGATCTGTTAAGTAATTCTCTGCTGTAATATTCTCGCATTGTATGTTTCTATCCAATGTTGTCAGATGTTACCATTCGCCAAATATGTCACCGATTTTAAAATGTCTATTTGTCTTTGAGAATACAGATAGTGTCAGTCGTTCGACATTTTGATAGACATTAGTAGTAGACATTATGACGAATGCAACATTTTTAATAGACATTCGAGAATAGGGCCCCTGGACCAACATACATCGCTATTCGAAGTGGAAAGCATAGTTCATCTACTGCTAATTCTTATGCTCAGGATTTCGAGATGCTTCTCGAACTTGAAGAGTTTCGACCATTAGCTAAAACTGACCATGGACTGGTAAAACCAGTGGTAATCATGACGGTTGATGGAGGGCCAGATAAAAATCCGCGTTATCAAAAAGTCATAGGGTTTGCTATACAACACTTTAAGCGACATGATCTCGATGCATTGTTTTTAGCTACCAATGCTCCTGGAAGAAGTGCGTATAACAGCGTAGAGCGTAGAATGGCTCCTCTTAGTCGGGAACTGACTGGTTTAATATTGCCTCATGACCATTTTGGGTCTCATTTGGATGAACGTGGAGTTACAATAAACATTTAGAAAGATCTTATTTTGAATTTGCAGGAAATGTATTAGCTGAAGTATCGAGTTCAATGGAAATTGATGGCTATAATGTTACTGCAAAATATGTTGGGGCAGGTGAACAAGATCTTCCTGATTTTCCAGACATTAAATGGTATTCAGAACATGTGCGTGAAAGCCAATACTTGCTTCAAATTGTAAAATGTAGCAATACAGAATGCTGTCGTCCAAGAAGTGGCCGTGGCCTATTCAGATTACTAGACAACAGGTTTCTTCCACCACCTGTAGAAGTAAAACAAACAGTTGATGACTTGGTGTTGGATGAAGGAGGGCAATTTCTTGATCTTCCAGTCAATTTAGCTCTACGCAAAGATTTCCTGCAAATGCCCTACGATTATTTTTGTCCGACGGTAAAATTGAGGCTATCAAGTCGAACATGCAAAACGTGTGGTCTTTATCATGCTTCCGTCAAGTCACTAAATCGTCACATCGAGAAGATCCATAAAAAAGTAAACACGCACACTGATAGGAAAGTTAGACCTGTAAGAGTCGCTGCTCGTCGTGCTAATGAACTGATGTGCATTATTCAAAATTTAGAAATGAGAACGACGTAGACATTCCAAAATCGGATGAAAGTGAGCAGACTCACAACACTGAGCAGCAATCCAAGCAATCCAATGTCATCGAAAACTTAGAATCATGGATTCGGGTTTCATGGACTGAAGACTATTAATTTGAATTTAATATGTGTACCAAAAATTTAAAATAAGTTTGTTATGTTCGTAAGATTATAATATTTTTGTCCTTTACTCTATGTTGAATACTGTATCAGTAAAATCTAATCTCTATCCTAAATCTATTTTCTTATTTTTAAAATTATAATTATAACATAATTATAATATAAAAAAATACATTTATAATTGAAAAATGTTTACGTAAGCATGGGGGGATGCTGACGAGGGGGATGGGGGGGTAAATAATTGTAATAAATCTGCTTACGTAATATTTGAACGGCCCTAGTGCATATAATCTTCAATATGAAAAAACCTATTTTACTTACATCTTTTTGGGGTAACATCTCTTTGGACTGAGAAAATGTTGTTACAGGTCCGACCCCTCATAATTTTCAACGAAAAATCTCCTGAATTTTTACGCATGGATTTAGAAACACCATGTATAGTAACAAAGAAATGTTCGACACCCCTCGCCCATAACAACCTTGTGTACTTCTTATGGATGATTTTTTTTAACAGCACATCTCTTCATATTGCTATCCAAGCAGACAACAAACCAATCTTCCAACTTCTTCTAAAGCAAGACTATATAAACGTCAATTTAAAAACCAACGAAGAACATGCTCCACTTTATTACGCCATGTTGAAATACGAATCTGGAGACGATGGGGAAGACTCATATGCAGCTTTGTTGCTTAAACACGAAGTCCACACTTCTCCCATATATTCAGAGAACTGCAATAGTCTCTTACAGGTAAAACAATTAATATGTTTAAAACAAACTTTTTTATTATAAGCGCATTAAAAAATTGCCTACAGTCTTTAAAAAATACTATTTTCAACAGTGGAGTCGAAGTTAAGGTCTGCTAAAGTTAGAATTATTTTTTTATTTAACACTTTCGCTGCCCATGACGTTCATTAACGTCATGATAGTTGTTTCCCCCATGCCCATGTCGTTTGAAGATGTATGATTCGATGAATGTAGACAAGCCGCTATAAAGTGAATTGTATTTATAACCCCGTAGGCATGTAAAAACGTTCTTAAATTAATTCATTATGAATTTGGTTTTAATATTATGTTTGTGAATTTAACATGTGAATTTAAACAGGTTCTAATTAAATGATGTACATAATTGCTCGATATTTCAATTTGTGGTATAGACACGCAAACAAGTCTTTAATAAAAGTTATATGAATTTGAAAAACACATAATATAAAAATATTTTTGGACATACAGTATGCTTGGAAAGTAAAAATATATATTTGTTAAATGGAACACTGTATTTTATCTCAGTTTTAGAAGTCTTAGAGAATACTGTATTAAACCCTAGAATATTTTAAAATAAATAAATTTTTTGTTATATAAAATGATACAGACCCCAAATAAAATTATCAGAATTTAAGTAGCTTATCAATGAGTTGAACTTTATAAAATACAGGCTTATAAGATACCAAGCTAACGAATAGACATGATAGAACTAGTTTATTTTATACAGAGGGTTAAATTTTCATTGTGCATGGCCCATGACGTTAATGAACGTCCAAACTTCTAAATGTTCGTTTACCAATGGGCCAGAGCGTGTAGTTGGCATTAAAGCTTGGGCAGCAAAAGCGTTAAAAGATGCACTCACACTTGGAGCCAACTTACTGTTAGGCAATTTTCCTTGCTGCAAGTAAAATTGTAGCAATTCCTATTGACAACAACATTGACCATCAGAGTTTCTTTTTCTCCACAGTAATTTGTTAACCAATGCTAAAATGTTTAAGACTTCTTTGCCTAATAAACTTTTCGCAGCTTTTTCATCATTTTTAATAATTTCTTTAAGAATTCCTCCAAACAGTTTGTTCATTGAGAACAATAATCATATACCGTCGTCACTAGGATTACAGATTTACTAAGTGGTGTATACAGATACGGAAAGTTAAAAGCGGACCCACTGCTTTACAAGGTATAAGACATTTTCTGTTACTCAACAAAATGTTTTATTGTTGATAGATCACGTGACCAATAAATAGCCGACTGATGTAATCCTGATTTTTCAATAATGACATTTGACATTTAATAATCTTGAAGCCTTTAAAGACGACAAGTTCGAAATCTTCGAAAACCTTCATTTTGTTTAAATCAAAACCAACATCAAACCAATTTTTTTTTTTCATAGAGTCCATTCATTTAGTTTACACCGATATTCAATTAACATGTATAAATCTCAGACATGACCTACTTAAACAAAACAGAAAAAGAGAAAATATTATATTTCCTACCTTTCCCATTATTGATGATCTCTATTTATTGAGATATAATAAAGAGGAGATGTTATGACAATGCTAAAGTATCCGCACCTTTACACTTTTGCGTCATATGTCAAACTCGAGATAGTGCGGCTAGTCAGTTTTGGTGAAAATAAATGCCATTTTTCTAAAATAGCTTCATTTAAATGATATAAAATAATTTTCATTCTGTCAGTCTTCAAATATAAAATTATCGACTTCAATACTTCAATAAACTTTTCCGTCATGAGAGGTGCGCCCATCTGTCATATCGCAAAACAGTGTTTATGTCGTTTCTACTTTATTCTATCTCGATGTCTCTATTACTCATGCGCAAATTCTACTTTCGCTTAAAATAATCAAAATTTATTGTTAATATGTTTCCTACCCTGAGTTCCAATTACACATATGCAAATGTCATTTTGTTTTTGCGTTTGATAGTATTGGTAAGGGAGCCAGTAACTCTTTTAGATGTGTTATTTGTGAAAGGTAAAATTACAAATATTTCGTTCCTTATTACCTTGTAGAACATGGAAATAGTTTGCTGTGCAACGAGGGTGCCCTTGACGATGACATTTTAAAAAAGCATGTGTAGAAAATGCTGTCATAGAAGCGCTCATTTGAAATTTTCACATATTGTTTGCATCAAAAGTAAGAAGAAAAAAGTTTGCTACTACCTTCTTGAAATTCGGCTCACAGTAGATCATGGCTTGCTGACAAGTCATTTCACTGCTAGATTGATTGCAGCTAAGTATTTCCATCTTCTACAAAGTAAGAATTAACGACATATTTATAATTTAGCCTTGTGCAAATGTGTACCAAAAAAGTTTCACTGGCTCTCTACTACATAGAATTGATGATAGTTGTTTTAAGTAAAAATGGCATGGAATAATCGTCGTAGCCAGTTTTAAGGCGAGGATAAGAGAGATATCTGATGTGGAACAGCCAAATGGAATAAATTCGGTAATAAATAAATGGGGGCGTGTTCGGAAAAACGCTTGGACACATCGATTGGTATTTTTAGTTGCACTTTTTTTTACAAAATTTTTTTATACGGGTGTGTCATGTAACAGTGGCCAATACCAACTGTCTTACCCTGGGTTTATAAGGCTTGACATTTACTGCCTTCGATCATGGTGGACTGTATGACTATGTTTGAAATATGTTACCTGGGGTGAAGGCCTTATGCTCCACCCTGTAGCCTCTGGAAGATGAAGTTCTGGTTGCTGCACTGATTTTATTCAAATGAAACTATCACTTTATATTTGAATTTGATATATTCACGGCTTACTGATTCCACATTTTACATATTAATACTTGGTTACATAAATTATTAACTGATTACGTTATAACTTTTTAAATCAAATCGCACAAATGCTTTTACTTAAATTTCGGCTTGCTGCCGGCGTTGACAAGATTTTTGATGGGGGTTGTTCGACTGACAAAATGAAAGTGTGAGTTTTTTCTCCGATACAATCCCGCCAGCCAGCGACGGTTTTACCGCCTTTTTTCTCATTGGCCGTCCCAGATCACATGATTGCGTACGTGATAATATTAACTGTTTGCGAAAATACAGGTGTCTGCGACATAGCAGGTGTTTGGCGGTCATTTGAAAGTCAAGCGTGTTGTCTCAAGTTTAGATAATTAGTTTATACAGGGAGTGACTATTCAGTACTTTATTATTTTTGTTTGCTAAAAGCGGAGGTTTATACAGGGAGTGTCTACCTACTATTTAGCAGATAGGACATGTTGAATGTAATTTTTCAACACCAACCTTCTTATTTTAAATGCAACACCCTGTGTATTTTTCAATTTTTGGATTCTTCAGAAAATTCTAGACCCCCCCCCCCATTTATGTATTACCGAATTTATTCCATTTGGCTGTTCCACAGTGAAAAACCAGAATGTAGCAAAACAGAACTTAAAAAACTCTCCAAGAACAAACTGAGGACCTTCCCGATACAATGAAATTTAAAAATTCGTGATATCATTTACGACATGAGTGCATTCAAAAAGTTGTAATTTAGATACAATTCACGAAGAAATTAAAAATAATGGAATTTTAAATGTAGGAAGAACCAGTCTATAAATTTTTTTAAAACATATCGGATTTAAATTTTAGAAAGAAGGCAATTGTAAGCCATTATATGAGGAATCAGTCCATAAGCGCTTTCAGTTCTTAAGCTATTTCCATAAGTTTAAAAAAAGTGGTGTGCTTCGTTTGTATATTTAGATGAAATTTAGATTTTTATGAAGGGATAAACGAAAAAATCTGGCAAGATGCAAATATAAAATAAATAAATAAATTGTGACTGTGCAAGTGAGGGAAAAATACGCATAATTGTCCAAGTAGGTAACGAGGATGGCTTTATTTCTGATGCAGAATTAAGTTTTCCTTTGAAATCTAAAAAATGTGACTATCATGACAACATTAATATTGAAATGTTTACTAAGTGGTTAAAAGAAAAAATTATTACCTAGTCTTAAAGAACCTTCTGTAACAGTTTTAGATAATGTCACTTTCTAGTTGGAAGTTGAAAGTTACAGATGAAATTGAATGCGCCAAATCCACTGAAACATTAAGAGAGGCCAAACCCGTAAAATTGACTGTCCGATGCAGACTATCACTCCCCTATGCAATCCCATATGCTGGAAGATTTCCTGCAAGCCGAGCTACCTGCCTTCTACGATATTTGTGGACCGACCGATCTCGTAGAACATGAGATACGGCTAATTAAACCTGAACCAATCAAGCAATGATACCGACCACAGAATCCAAAGATGCAGGAGGTTATCAATGAAGAGGTCGATACAATGTTGCAGGAAGGAGTAGTAAAAACCTCCAAAAGTCCGTAGAGCTCGCCCGTTGTCATCGTAAGGAAAAAAGAAGGCTGTATTGATTTCTGCAAGATTAATGAAGTCACAAAGAAGGAAACCTACCATGTCGCACATAAATGCCATTTTAGACAGAGTTCGTACCGCCAAGTATACTTCAAGCCTTGATTTGAAGAGAAGAGTGGCTATTGGCAGGTGCTACGTTCATTCCAAAGCGAACTGATAACCGCATACCGCATTCACTGTGCCAAGAAGGGGACTTCCAGTTTTGAGTTATGCCCTTCGGCCTTCATTCAGCTTTAGCTACCTTTCAAAGACTAATTGATCGAATTATTGGTCCTGAGATAGATCCGCAGGCTTTCGCCTACCTAGATGACATCATCATTCTAGGTGATAACTTTGAAGATCACCTCGCTAATTTGAGAGAAGTCTTCCGACGCCTGAAAGAGGCAAAGCTTCAAATTAATTTTGAAAAATGTAATTTTTACTTACCGAGCATGAAATATTTATGACACTGTCACTGGAGATGGAATAGGCAGGCACTGATCCCGAAAAGATAGCCATCCATCGTGAAATTCAAAGCATCGAAAACTTTTCATGCAAGTTTTTGGAAGTTACCTCCTGGTACCGCAGATTCGTCCCATCCTTCTCGCAGGTGGTTGCTCCACTCTCAAAGCTACTGCGAAAGGCCCATAAGTGGCTTTGGGATGAAGAACAAGAAACCGCATTCCAAAAACAAGAACATTTTGACTGAGGCACTGATACCCAATTGTTAAGATTTTACCATCCCGTTCACATCTTGGAAAATCGAAAATATTAAAACTGGTTATAGAGCCTTATTCTCGAATGTCTATTAAAAATGTCGCATTCGTCATAATGTCTACTACTAATGTCTATCAAAATGTCGATCTGCTGACACTATCCGTATTCTCAAAGACAAATAGACATTTTAAAATCGGTGACATATTTGGCTAATGATAACATCTGACAACATTGGATAGAAACATACAATACGAGTATATTACAGCAGACAATTACTTGAAGAATCTCTTAGTAATACAAAATAATACTGAAAATACATCCAAAATATATATCTGTTTGATAAATACTAATTAGAAAGTAGAGAACATATAAATATAATCTTTTTAACTAAAATTTTATGAGGGATTAAATAGAAAATTGGAAGTGCAATTTGATAAGAGATTAAACAGAAAGAAGAAAAAAAATATTATTGTAATACAATCTAAACATTACATAAAATGTCTGTGATATAATCTTTTTACCTGCAATTTGAAAAAGTAGAGATATATAAATTTCTTATGACAGGTTTTAAATCTCTTGGACAAACAGGAGCAGTGTCGGATCGGGACTTCCAGTGCCTACCGGTCAGAACGGAAAAGGCCCACCTATCCATATTTTTTCATGGGCCGATTTCTTGAAGAGCAAAAAAGGCCTTCTTTGCACATTGATGCTTTTTTCAAAGGTTATTTCGCATTTCTTATTCTCAAGGGCACACAGACTAACTTAGGCCCACTGAATGAGGCCCAGTGCCCGAACGAGGACCCACTGCCCAAACGAAGGCCCACTGCCTGAAAGAGGGCCCACTGCCTGAAAGAGGGCCCACAGCTTGAACGAAGGCCTACCGGTCTTTTGCCTGTAGACCAACGGCCCAATCCAACACTGGACAGGACTAATAATTGATAAATTAGGTGAAATTGTAAATAACCATTTCATATATTTTTAAAAACAATTTGTACAATACTTATTTACATTTTTCTTAAAAATAAATATAAACTGTCACGACACTCATATTATAACATCATATTTAAAAGGGCATGCGACATTACAATGTCGACTGATTGTATACCACTCGACTTTGTCTAACAACAAATGTCGAATTCGCCATTCCAGAATACGTTTTTGCGTTCTTATTCGACATTTCATCAATGTCGCGTGTGACATTTAGAAATAGACATTCGAGAATAGGGCCCCAGAGCATACTGGCGCATTCGTTTGCAAAATTGTTTTAATTCGTAATATTTTTTTTAAATACCCGGAAGCTTGCCTAATTATAAAAGTGTAAGATGACACTCGATATTTGTTGATGTTATTGTTTAAACAACGAAAAATTAATTAAGCCAGAAAAAATGCATTTTTTGCAATGAATTAATTTTTTTTATATTCTTTAGGATATTTCGAATGAAAAAAGTCCTTACGCCCATCATCGTATCTTCAACCCTTTAATTGTTATGAATTTTTTAAAATCCAAAATTGACGAAAATTCTAATTTTCTTGAATTGAAAAAATAATTTCCGTTTGTGTGATAGAGAGAGAACAGCTTACAAATAAACTAAACCCAATTATAATTAATGTTTGATGACGACATCGACGTATCAAATTCAGAAGAATAAAATACAAAATAAACCCTACCTTCGATAAGAGAATAATTAAAAATATTTTTAATTTTTTTACTTTTTTGTTTAAATAATTGTTTATACAAAAAAATATATTTAATAATGACTTTTCACTTTTACAAGAAAACATGGAAATTTATCTCCAATTAGGCATTCCAAACTGAATGACTACCAGTGGGTTTTGACAGGTTATGATGTGGCAAAGTTATGGCAACTCTGTAGGCCTGGTGATTTGACAAGGTGAGTGAAATAGATAGTTACATAGATTGATCATCCCTATTTTTTAAAATAAATATAAGCTTATGCCTTGAAGTAAAAATATAAGCAATTATTATTTTTTAAATATCTAAAGTCTGAAAATTGGTTTTAAAACACATTTTTGCTAAACTGATTCAAATTAATAAATATTTGCCAGACAATATGGCTGCTCGCAAACAACCAGCTTTGAGCAATGTATATAACATATATGTATCATTGACCCTGTTAATGACAACATGACAACAGGGTTGCCATATCTAAACTGTCAGTACCCACTGGTAGCCATTTGGACAGGTTGTTGGAATGCCTAATAAGATAGCCAAGCTAAATCTATAGTTTAACACCGCATCTGAACGGTACCCTTGGAGGAGCTAGATCAAAGATATTCCTAGATCGATTTCGCGAATAAATTAGACTTTTTCTTAAACATCAAAAAAAAACAAGGTTATAATATTGTACTAGCCGTAATTGAACATTTGGTACGAATTACTCACATATTTACTGAAAGTCGTAAATTTGAAAAAATAAAACAGGAAAACTTGCTAAATTATTGATAATAAAACTCTTATGGTGTCATGTTTTCAAAATGTGTTAGACAGAAGCGTGTCACTGCCTGTCATTTTAAAATTATGAAAATGCGCTAGTTCAGTGATGATGTAATTATGGTTCCACTGACAATTAAAGTGACAGTAGATTTTTTGAGTGCGTTTTGTTCGTTTTGTTTACCTAAATTATATCGGTTTTTTCACTTTTATAAATATATTCCTAAAGTAAGTAGATAGCATGTATCAAATATACAATCGTTTAGTTACCAATTACATACCTTTAAACTATTTTTTATGACATGTAAACAATATTTTGAAATAAAATAAAAAAGTAAAACGTATATGTCAAATTTATTGATGTTTTTTGTTAAAAGTTTGCTTAGAATTAAATGTCAGTGGAACCGAAATGACATCACACTAAACTAGCGCATTGTATGAATACTAGAGAGAAGGAGGCGAATCGGCAATGGTCAAATTTCTTTTTATAAAGTTCGTCAAATTGACTGTAGTTGGCAGGTCGAACGTCAGCGCTGTCAATTTTCTATTGTAACGTTTATTTAATTTATTTATAGTTTATTTAAAACACTTTATTTACAATTTATTTATAATGTACCAATTAATTTATATAATACTTAGGCACTATTATGACTCACAATTCTAATTTATTTATTACATTTATCTTTTCTGTTCAATACTTCAATTGAATCTACTTGTCCGTCGACAAACTCGCGCTATTTATATAAAGCCAGCTCTGTACCAAAACTCTCTCGGCTTTCCAGAAATATCGAAAACTGCCTTTCTATGACTCATACGCCGCACCGCGATCACAGGTTCGAGAAGCGGTGCGTTTGTCTTTATATGGCCAGCGCTAGACTTCCTATCGCGGTACGGTAATAAACAAGGCACAGGGTTGGCTTTGCGCGACACCATGTAAGTCAATGTAAAATAAAGTTTTTTTTAAATTGCTGAAAAGAATCAAAATAATGTGAAAAAAATACCCGAGTACAAGTAACATGAGTGACAAAAAACATCAAAGCACGATTTACTTCTTTCCATATTGTAAAACCGAATACAAATCAGATGTAAAAATAAAAAAAATATGCAGAAGTCAATTCAATGTCTTTTAAAGCTTCTAATGTAAGTAATATAATGTATTTATTTCTAAATATAATATTTATTGTAAACTAGTCACAACCCGTATCTTACGGAGTGTAGTTTATTTTATTACAAGTTTCTATAATGTTTTATTGTTAGATGAAGAGTTACTACTGTTATTTTTTTATAGAATTCTAAACGCTTAGAACAGTGGCAGCATATATATCGTTCCTAGGCCGATAAGGTACTTTCTAGAGATTTTGCTGCTCTACACTTTTTAGAAGATATTTCCAAATATTATGTGATTCTTTTTCTGATGCAATTTAAATTTAAAAATTAAAGGATGAGGCAATACCATGTACATTCCCGAATTTCCCTTAATGCTTGTGTTATAACAACAAAAAATTTGTTAACTGTGTTTTATTTTGCTCTTAAAATTATATTTAAGTATAATTCAAAAAATTTTAGCCACAAAATTGTACTTACAAAATTTCACCATTTTACAAACCTTTTCGAATTTGGAACCTAATTTGTATTTTATATAGATAAAATTAAATACTTTATCAATTAAAACATGCAAGACTTATTTAGAAATAAATACAACAGTATATTCTGTGCTTTATTTAGCAATAAACAAGTTTATTTTTATTATTTTCCACAAAATGATGTAAAATTCCCATAAGAAATCATGCATTTTTACCAGCGCTTGCAGCACCAACGCCCATGCGGTGAATTATAAAATCTCAGTTAGCGTTCGTTTTTTGGGACCGTATTTCGCGCATGCCGATTCACCTCCTTATCTCTAGTCTTCATAGTTAATTGATCCATCAACGCAAAAGAGCAGATGGATCTGGTAACAACAATCTGAAAATTTTGTTGAATTTTAGAATCCGATGTATAAAAGAACGGTTTTGATGAATATTAAATGGAATCCATGAATATTAGATTATGCCTTTAATATGACCATCCTCCAAAGACAACTGTGCAACACATTACCTATTATGTGGCCTTGCGCATGGTATATGCGACTTCCTATACAATCCCACTTGCGCCGATTTGGCTTGTATGGTCGGCATTTAAATTTCCGAATCTGTATATTAAATAATCTGTTTCAAAATATTAATAATTATATTTTCAGGTACTAATTTTGAATGGAGCTCAAACTGCTGCCATTTATTTGAGTGAAAAGCTATCAGGAAATTTAAATCATGTCAATACTGAAGGTAAGAAACATTGCAATATTAAAAATGTATTACATACAATCTTGAGAATCATCTACTGTTAATTAATTTTCCCTATTAGAATATTTACAGGAAACACTACCTCAAAATTAGTTTTTTCTTTAAGAAGTAGTATTTATATAGGTGATAATATCAAATTAAAAAGACTAGAAAT